GGACTTCAACTCCCAGAGTTCCTCAGCCAGCTTTGCTGGCTGAGGAACTCTGGGAGTTGAAGTCCACAAGTCTTAAAGTTGCCAAGGTTGGACACCCCTGATTTAGAGGTTTGTTTTTTTTCACCTGTTCTGGGATTCCTTAGTGGTGTCCCATCTGTGTATTAACTAGGCCCAGTCCTTCTGTTGCCACCACTTCACAGAAATGCAGTTTCAGGGTCATGTATCTTAGATGGATTTCCTATATATTATGGTGACTTGCACTTCTTGGATTTCTCACTTCAAGAATCTTGCCCAACTGGTTCGGTGTCTCCCAGTCAGCATTCATGCCAAAGCGGGGGACTAGAACTCATAGCTTCTTGGTTTCTAACCCAGCATCTTAGCCCCTAGACCAGTTTTTCTCAACCTCAGCCACTTTAAGATGTGAAGACTTCAACTCCCAGGATTCCTCAGGCAGCATGGGGAATTCTGGGAGTTGAAGTCTGCACATCTTAAAGTGGCTGAGGTTAAGAAACATTTTGGCCCTACACCAAACTGGCTCTCAGTTTAATGGACAACTTATCTTTGGATCCAACCATTAGTCACTGATAGGTCAGTGATGGTGAACCTTTTTGTGGTGGTGTGCCGAAAGCACGCAGGCGCGCAATAGCACGTGTGCGTGCCAACACCCACAATGCAATGTGCCCCGCCCCCAGTGCGCATGCGTGCACAACATCTCCTGCCCCCTTACCTGCGCTGTGCATGTGCACACCTCCCAGCTGATTTTCAGCCTCCCAGAGGCCTGAGGGAAGCCTCTGCAGCCTCGGGAGGCCGAAAAATGGGCTTCCCTCGAGCCTCTGGGAGGCCGAAAATCAGCTGGGAGGCGCACGCGTGCACAGTGCAGGTAAGTTTGGTTGGGGCTCACGTGCCCGCACAAATGGCTCTGCGTGGCACCTGTGGCACACCTGCCATAGGTTCGCCATCAGGGCCACAGGTACTTAAGTTTAGGTTCAGTTGTTTTTATTTTCAGGACTTTTATCCAGCATCCTATTCCAGGAGATATGCAAGACAGAAATTCAAAAGCTAAACAATCAGATTAAATATATGCAAATAGATAATTGCTTATTTCCTAGTATTGTAGCTGAGCGCTAAGAAAAACAAAAACAAAACACAGCCTTCAGCTGGCAGGCAAGAGATAAATATGACTGCCAGTGCTAGCTAGCCATGTTGCAGCCCTCAAATTGCACCAAAACTGCTACTGCATTATTAACAATTATTTTAGAAGTAATATTTGGGAAATAAATCTTCTGCCTTGTTTTTCCCTCCTCAGTTTAGGAATTCATATACAGGAGAACAAGCTCTCGTATTTTGATTTTCTAAGAGTTATTGATGACCGTGCGGCATTCAGCTACAAGAAAAGACATATTGTGCCCCCCATACCACCGATCAGCTTTGTGCAACTCAGCATAGATGAGGCTATGGCTAAAATAAAGCAGATGGTTACGGATTCCTCTGATTTGCTGTACAAGGTGAGTACTGTGCAATTGCTTCAGTTGCCCACCATCCATGCCCACATGGAGAAAGATAAAATTCTGTGACCCAACTTGTGTTTCAAGGAAACCCCGAGCACATAGAAAACTGGGCCAGGGCAATGCATAAAAAGATTCCAGAAATGGGGCCAAGAAGGTGGTCATAGGCAACCAACAACGTTGCTTGTCTCTGTTGTGTCTAAGGAAGTAGGCGTATTTCTCACCCTATCGCACAATGGTACCTTCTCAGACATGGAACTCCCCACTGAATCCGGGATAAAAAGGGATATTCATGTCTGCTTTCCTTGGGGAAGACCACCCAGGGAGACAAGACCATGCCTCTAAGACTGTGAAAACAACACATTACTTCTAAACAGTTGTTAGAGTAATAACTTCAGCGTAAGGCCTAAATTTGTGGGTGCTTGTGATGTTCTGCTCCCGTTGAGCCATTTCATTGCCAAGCTTCCCAGTTCATGAAAATCAGTTGGAGGTGAGGAAGAGAACAAGTTATCTAATTCAGATTGTATCATGTTGAATCAAAAATTAAAATGTGATAACTTAGAGCCATTTCTCTTAGTTCAGTGAAGGGATGCTTCCTTTTTTGCATTCGGTCATTAGTCAAGAAGTAGACGGAATCCGTCTGGAGAAAGTGGAAGATTTTCTTCCCTTTGTTACAAGATATTATGGAATCTGAAAACCGTAAGACAAAGCATTTATTGAGGCCCATTAGTCTAGTATATCAAGCACAGTATATCAGCTACTTTATTAGCAATAGCAAGAGCACTTAGACTTATATATCACTTCACAGTGCGTTACAGCCTTCTCTAAGCGGTTTACAGAGTCAGCCTATTGCCCCCATCAATTTTACAGATTTTCCTCATCCTCTACTTAAGTTACTGGCATAGGAAAGCCTTGTCTGCCTGGATAGTCTAGATTAGAATAAACTCCCACAACAATATCCCTTTTGTTCCTGTTTAATGACATGCAGGATTTTTTTTAAAGCAACAGAACAATTCAGTAATTTGTTTTAACACCGTAATATTTGTCTAAGTCCCCAGAGTGTATATGTTGTATGTATACGGCTATTAGGGCTGTGCAAGTTTTCAAAGGGGAGCTTATTTCAACCAAGATTCATTTAGAAGCCCTCAAAAACGGTATGGGGTTGCTTGGCGTTCTCTCTCCTTCAGGTTCAGTGAGTTCCATGCAGGAAGGCTGAAAAATGGAAGCTCAAGTAGTGTCCGGCAAACCAGGCAATTTCAGCAAATGCTGTGTTGTCCCCTGAGCATGGGGCAGGCTGTCCAGAATGGGCGTCCCTTGTCACATGCCAAAGACCTTCCAGACTAGAGCACCTCAGCACATGGGAATCCTGCAGCATGTGCCAGCTCTGCATGGCCAGTGTCATGCCCTTGTTGGAGTCTGATTCTGAGGGGGAGATTGAGCAGCTGACAGGGAGTGGGAGTGTGGCTCCAATGGCTGTGGAGGAAATGGGGGAAGGGCATAGTCCGGCTGGGCATTCAGAGGAAGACCCAGGCCCATCCCCTCTTCATCCCAGGGCACACAGGGAGGAACGGAGAAGGGAGCAACGTGGCTTGCGAGAGAGAAGAAGGCCCTGATCCCTTTCATTGGTTGCAGCTGGGAGAACAGGATATAAGTGGGGCATTTGCACATGGCTCCTTGCTGGAAGCAAAGCGTGCATTATCTTGGTCGAGACTTATCTGGATTTTGGTGTCCTCCCAACTGTGGGTGCTGTGTTATCTTTTGGAAGTCTGCAATTTATCATCCTGTGTTAATTACTTCAGTGTGGTTTGTGTTGGTTTTTTTATTTCTAATTATCTTTACTTTGGGTTTGGACTGCATTTCTGCCCTTCGTAGACTGTTTTTTTGGAAGAGTTTGTTATCCGGCCCAGGATAATTGGACATTGGGGCCAAGTTGGAGGCATTAAAGGGAATGTATTCTACTTTTGTGGCTTTGTTCTTTTTGTGTCATGCCCCGGGTCATCACAGCCAGAAAGCACTTCAGCCATTGCTGGGAGAGAAAGCCGAGGGAAGCTCCTTCAGCTTGGACATGCCACACACCATCAAGCAAATCATCTCGCTATTCCATTGGCACCCACAGGGCTGAAAGTTAGAGTGGGGCCAAGCCACCCGTTCTGGTGAGGGAGAAGTTCTCTGCGGATGAATTCCAACCCAAACTCAGAACACTAAACCTCTGGTCCTCGTGATCGACCCAGATTGGATCCTGCAACATTATTCTGGGACTCATGTATTTGCCTTCATTCATGGACCCAAGTTTCTTTGCACAGGCTTATACACCTGCCAGGAGACCTGTGCTCACAGACAGTGAATCCAAATCAGTGCAATGTCCAAATTAAATGGATGGGATGTTTAATTCACACATGTTTAGAGACGCATACAGGAGAGTTCCCCCAGCTGTTCTGCTGTTCAAAGCTCTCTCCATCTTTCAATGCTCTGCCTGAGCCGGTTGCTATAGGCGACTGTTGTAAACAGCCATCCCGCCCCCACTAGGCAAAATCCTGCAGGGAGAAAAGGCTGTTGAGGCAGCTCATGAAGTGCTGGGACGAAAATTCACAGGGTTCTTTGCACAATTTGGTATGTTACATACTTGTTGAAGGAAAGAAGGTTGCATGCTTTCTCTTAAACTTAACCTTCTGTATGGGTTTTTCTACAGAGGAATAAGATTGTCCCAAACTAGCTTCTTTTCTTTTGAGCTACTTCGCTTGTTTCTTTCCCCGCAGGCCTTCTTGGCTTTTGATAAAGATCGTACTGGGACAATTTCAACCCTTGACTTCCGGCAGGTGCTGCACCATTTCTGTTTCACACTTTCGGAGAAGCAGTTTAACCATCTTCTGAAACTGCAGCGACTTCGTGGCGAGCACTCCATTGACTGGAAACATTTCCTCCAAAAATTCAACCTCCTCTCAGAGGTAAGAATGTCAGTCCCTTCTACTGTACGTGAGAGGGAAGAGCAGTGGAAGCAGCTGGGGGCAGAAACAGCTTTATTTTGCAGTGGGGGTGCGCACATTTGAGAAATGAGCAATATTGGTCTGTTTCCAAATGGCTGGAACTCACAAGGACAGATCAAGAAACAAAACTGACCCTTGCAAAAGCATTATTCCTTACTTATTCACTATTGAATCTACTATGCTCAGCCTTTCCAACCCAAAGCATAAGGGGGGGGGGGGCGTTGTCCTTAAACTTTATCAAGCATTCCCTGGGTTTAAATAAACGGGATGCAATTTGTCTGGATGGGAGGGGACTAACCCAGGTTATATGTATTTATATGTCTGGCTATGTTCAGGGAAAAGCCTCCTCATAATACGTGTGGAGGCAAGACCTATTCTTGCTGTTTGGAGGACAAGTGGAAATTTATTCCCATCAAAGGGAAACAGATCTCTGGACTTCTTCCCTAGTCCAATCTCTTTAAAACAGGGATACTTTTTTCCTATTTCCTTCACTTGAGTGGATGTCCTTCTGTGAAAGCATACTAAAAGGCTATACAACTTCTCACCCCTACCAAAGGCCACTCTACTTCCTAGCCTAGAAAACCTGGACATTCTTATCTATATAAAAGCAAAATGCCACTCACGCATCATCACAAAATCTCCAGAACCGTAAAGCCTACAAACTCGAAAGTTGGCACAAACTTGAAAGTTGGCTTCTAGCTGCTCACTAAGAAATGATTTTTCAAAATGACCATCAGAGCCTTAGTATTTTGTATGTTATTATTAACATGCTCTGGTGCTAAGGAGTTCTTCTCCCTCTCCCCACCTGAAAAGAAATCTCTTCCAAATGCAAAACACAAGCAGAGGAGGAGTTTCACTTTTAGTTTCACAGCACCAAGCAGCTTTAGTACAGAACAGTTGAGCTAAGCCACGCCCAGGCTCGTTGCTGTCTCCTTCTTGCTCACACAGAAAATACTGCTTCAATTTCCAAACTCTCTCATACACTGACAGGATGCTAACCAGATGAATACCGATAGATGCTGGTAGGCAGAGGCACAATTTCCCCCCTTATTTTCCTCCCCAAAAACTAAGCCCGACCACATAGTTTCGTAGCAAAGCATGGGTATAGAACTAGTATATACTATATGTAGTAATGTCTAGTATATTTAGTAGTAGTAGTATATACTACTAAAACTCTTCTGATTATTTGATTCATTTGGATGAAATTGTATCAGAGGGCAACAATTTTTGAATCAACGTACCTCAGATAGGCTAACTTATAGAATGCATCCAAAATCAGGCGCCCATGAACTCCTGTGGGATTGAAATTTTACAATGTTATTTGATCAGTGATGCCAGGCCTCTGCTCTGCCACAATCAGCCATACTCCTGTGATTGACATTTCCAAAGCTCGCTCCCAGGAAAATCAATGGAAAAGCCAGCAGGGTATTGATCCCACCCCCAACTGCATTTTAGCCCACCCATGGTCATTCTATTTCTCTATTTAGGTAGGCAAGTATCTTTCAAACATTGACCGAATGGTTGTCGTGTTTCCATTAATGGAGTGGTTTTTTTTTATTATAAGTCTTAGCCCTATATCTTTCCTAATTACATCAGAAATTAACCCTACACAGGCTAGCATTCAGACATCCCTTCAGAATTCTTCACCTAAGGGACGACTATGTTTCCCACCACTTCTGAATTCACCAACCTCAAGAAAAGTTCCGTTCTGTGCTTATTAAAGCAAAACCAATAAACCAATTAAAAACTCTTTGCTTCCTATACTTGTAGAAATCAGCTGTTCTTTAATCTGACAAATATGCTTCCCGAGGCTACTACAGTTTAGCTTATTTTGGCTGATCCTGGAAAAACTACGAAGGACTGGAGGGGAAAGTCAAGGAAATATCCCAGAATAAGGCAGTGGCCACTTCCTTGTTATTATTGCCAAGGAAGCTACTACATGGGGATGTCCAGGTGGTTATAAGGGACCCAACTCACCTTGAGTGAATTTTTGATGAAGCTAGCTAATATTTGGAACGTGATGCAGTAGTTTCATGTAATTCATGACATAATTCATGATTAGTCTTTACATCAAAGGTTTATATGTCAGATCAAAACTGACTATATCAAGTAGATCTGAGCCAGGCTACAAATTCTACTTCCTTCAACCACCAACCATTTTGCCTGAAGGTAATCATGCTGGAAGTTAAAATATCTAGAGAGATTTCTGCTCAGAAAGACTGCTATAAAGCAGTCTTCCTGGGGCACATCCTAGTATACTGTATATGACTTAATGATCCAGATTAATTATTTCAGATTAATGATCCAGAATTCAGCCAAATCCAAACTGAATGTACTTATTTGTATTTATTTTATTTATTAACAAGGCTTATTAACTGCTTCAGTCTGCTGATTTTGAGCAGCAAAGAATTTCCCAAATACATAATTTGGTACTAAAAACAAAGAAGTATATAATGACATTAAAAATTAACGCATCACAGCGGCATATATGAAACCGGGAATTACATTCAGGGCAATAAAAACCAGTTCCTCATCTCCAGGGTGATTCTTAAGTAATATTTTAATGAAAAGTCTGCTGCCTGATGGAAAGAGTAGCCCATTTCAGCCTTTAATATGATTGTTGAGATATTTTTCCCATTGATCTGATTTGGAAGAACCTGGTAGAATTGAGTTATGGGGGAGGATGAAGTAAATATTCTGGTTCCATAGCCATTAACACGAATTAGCATAAGTAACAAAAACTGTTATTGAATAGGAGGGAGTGATATCTTCTCAGCAGAAAATATCTCCTTTTAGGAAGGAAAAAAGCATATTGGGGACAGAGATATGCTAAAATGCCTTTCTGGCATATTCACTTCCTACATGCAGAGCAACACACTTTTAAAATAAAATTTAAAAGTTTAGTGATGCAATTCCACATGGAAAATATTCTGGTATCACTTTGCTACCTCATTGGAATGAATCTCCTTGATGACCTGCTCTTGCCACACTTGGTACAATTTTCCAGGGGTGGGATTCAACTGGTGTGTTCTGTCCCAGCTGAAGTTTCCGAAAGCAAACACAGATAAACTCCAAAACTGAAACGTTCACCGCTTTATTCCACAAATAACCCTCTTTGTAGATAACAGATGGCTTGCAGCCAATTAGTCCAATAAATCAAAGTCTGTAATCATCACACTAACTCTTTCGAACTTTTTGCAAAGGCAAAAGCCGTTCAAAACCAGGCTTATGTATTCCCTAGAGGGAGGGGCCATTAATTAGCATTCTTACTCCTGAGTCACCTTCCTGATTGCTGCCGGTGAACCACAACACAGTGTTACTACGTGCATGTGTAAAAACCATCAGCTGAGCTGCCCGGACAGCTGACAAGCGCTGCGCGCGGGTGTGCAGCATTTGAAAAGCCTCTTTTTTCCTGCTTTTTCAACCTCAGATGTGCTGCGCAAAGCAGCTGAGGTTGAAAAAGCAGGAAATAAAGGACAGGTAAGAGCCCGGGCTGGCGGGTGGGCCAAACAGCAGCAAACACAAAACAGGTTCGGTGTCTGCTGCTCTTCAGAGCTACCGATTCTATAGAGCCGGGCAGAACCGGTAGCATCCCACCCTTGCAATTTTCTTACACCCTGCTCCTACCATGAAAATACAGGTAGTCCTTGGCTTGCAACAGTTCATTTAGTGACCGTTCAAACTTACAATGGCACTGAACAAAGTGACTGGCTTGTGACCATTTTTCACACTTTATGAGCATTGCAGCTTCGCCATGATCATGTGGTCAACATTTAAATGCTTGGCAACTGACTCATACTTACGACGGCTGCAGTGTCCTGGGGTCACTTGATCCCCTTTTGCAACCTTCTGACAAGCAAAGTCAAGGGGGAAGCCAGATTCACTTAACAACCGTGTTCCTAATTTAATAACTGGCAGTGATTCACTTAATAATTGTGGCAAGAAAGGCCGTAAAACAGGGCAAAACTCACAACGAATTTCTCCCTGAGCAATATGAGCTCAGTTGTGGTCATAAGTCAAGGACTACCTTCGGACACAGCAACGGTCATAAATATAACCAGTTGCCATCCCCATCACCCTCATGCCTTTTTTTCTTTTTAATGCTAAACATTATTTTTCATTAGCTTCCACTTTGTATGAGGTTCAGTTGGAGGTTGACAAAAACACTGTCTACTATACTATATCAGATATTATATCTGTGCAAAGTGGTCAAATTAGATTATTTATTAGAGTTGTGATGTCATAGTGTTTTTGAATTCATTTTGGTTTTAATTACTTCCAAAGTGTTTCTAGTATATTTGCACTTTTAACGTGTATTTAATTTTCAAGCAAGGTGTGAAGTCACCGAAGGAAGCTAGACAGAGAAGCGTCTTTCTAACATTATAGGGAACCATATAATGATTGAATACTAGCCAAGGCTCAAAAATCTCTTGAGTCTTGAAAATAAGAGAACTATAAAATGAGCGTTCAATCTAGCTTGACTTAATTAAAGGATCGGTTGGGAGATCTTGGATTTCTAGCCAGGAAAAGACAGTGCAAGTGTCATGCCCCTGTCGGAGTCAGAATCCGAGGAGGACGACGAACAGCTGACAGGGAGTGGGAGTGTGGCTTCATTGGCTGTGGAGGAAACTGGGGAAGGGCTGGGCAGAACGGGAGAGGTAGAACAAGGGAGAGGGAGTTCAGAGGAAGACCCAGGCCCACGCCCTCTTCATCCTAGGGCATACAGGGAGGAATGGAGAAGAGAGCAACATGGGTTGCATGGTTTACAGGGGAGGAAAGGGCCCTGATTCCCTTCATTAGTCACAACTGGGAATGAGAATTTAAAAGAGATGCAAGCTGAGTGCGGCGTCTGCTGGGAACAAACGTGAGTTTATCTTGTGTTGATTTTGAGTATCTACGTTCCTGGCATCCTCCCAACCGTGTTGAATTACTGCCGTTCCTTCACATCTGGAATTCCTTCT